TGAACAATATAATGAATCAGCTTGAACAAAATGACACGTATAGAATACCACACCTAACAATACCAGAATAAACGTTCTCAAAGTGCACATAGAACATTTACCAAAATTGACCAAAAGCTCAGTTATAGAATAAGCTTTTAAACTTCAAAGGACTGAAATTATTCATAGTGTATTCTCTGGTCAATTACCAAAAATAGGTAGAAAACCTTCTGTTGCATTTTCCAGGAGAAACCACACAGCTGGTTATACACAACTTTCTTTATAGAGTGAACTTGCATGGGGGCAGCTGAGCATTGCTGGAAAGAGACAAACTCTGCTGACTGGTCTCACTTTAAATTTACATCCACAGTCCTGAAGTGGGTTCTCACTATTAGTCCAGGAGCACTATCACCTGGCTAATTCAATCTCACATTCAGCTGTTGTCTCTTTCTTCAGACCTCCATCCCCGGTGATACTTTCCCTTCTTATTTCACTGAGAAAGTGAAAGCAACCAGAAGAAAGTTCATCTAACTACCACCCACTATACCACCAATTTGCACCTGTGCCTGAATGCTTTCCATTTCCTCCTGTTCCAATGAAAGAATGTTCCTTTAGCTAGGATTAGTATCTTCCTTGAATCGATCTACCTTGAATTCCACTGAATGCTGTGATGTCACCCACTCTAAATAAGTTCCTTTGACATCCCCTTCCAGCTGCCTCATTTGCCTACTTTCACAATAAACCTCCTCTATACAGTTGTCTACATTCCCACTTTATTCTCTATCATTGTAACTTGAATCTGCACCAGCAAGCTCACAATCACCGTTATCATTTCCCACCCTTGTGACCCATGACTATGGTATTAAACCCAGTGGCCAGTTCACAATTTCTAACATGTGAATGCTCCTAGCAGCATTCATCACTGTTGACCACTATCGATTGGAACATTCTCTGCTTTTGGCAGTTGGAGTATCACCCTTTTCTATTTTTTTCTTTAAGGTTACTCCTTCTTGGATTTCTTTGTTGACTTCTTCCTTCTTTTTGATCTTTAAATACTGGAGTGTTTTAAGCCCCCAACCTTGACTCTTTTCTATATTACCCTGATGATTTAATCTAGTTCTCTGGATTTAATCAGTCCATAGGGTGATGATCTCCTGCCTAGACCCTCTCTTGACTCCAGACCTATTTATCCCACAGCTTTCCTGATGTCTCCGCTTACATATGTACTAGGATTTCAAATATAATTCTCCCCAATCTTCTCCATGTTTTTCCCCACCCTAAGTCATTTCTACCATAGTATTTAGTTTCATATTGCTGCAGTAACAAATTACCACCAATCTGGTAGCTCAAAATAAGACAGATTTATTCTTTTACAATTCTGGAGACCAGAAAGCCAAAGTCAATTTCACTGGGATAAAACCAGTATGTTGGCAGGGCGATGTTCCTTCCCAAGGCTTCTCCTTGCTTTTCCTAGTCTATAGAGCTGTAGTCCTTGCACCCTTTGGTGCTTCTGATCTTCAAAGCCAGCAATGTAGCATTTTGCTTTAGTTCTCATGTTGACTTCTTTATCTATATTGTCAAATTTCTCTCTGCCTCCCTTTTATAAGGGCATTTCTGATTGCATTTAGGATCCACCTAGATAATCAAAGGATAATCTCTTGATTTGAAAATCCTTAATCACATCTATAAAGTCCCTTTTGCTACACATTCACAGGTTCCAGGGATAAGGATGCAGACATTTTGGGGACCATAATTCAGCCTGCCACACATTGTGAATGGCATCACCATTAAGCAAACACTTTGATTCCTCCTTCTCTTGAACCTTATGTTTAACCCATCAGAAAGTCTTTTAGGCCCCACATTTAAAATACACCAAGGATCTGATCATTTCTCTCCACCTCCACTGCTATCATCTTCTCCTCTGGATTAGATCCCACCATCTCTCTATTCTTCCCATCTATTCTTAAGATAGCAGATGTATTGATTCTAAAAATATAAGTCAGATCATGTCACTCCTCTGATTACCCTTCAGTGGATTTCTATCTCATCTTGGATTTTATTCTAGGACTTAATGGCCTCCAAGGCCCTCTCTTTGCTTACCCATGACCTCGCTGCATCCTACTCTTGCCCTCATCAATATATGGTGCTCCCAGTCTGTGTCCTGAATGGCATTCAGTTCTCAGATTCTATTCGCCTCTAGAAAGAGGGACCATTGAAAAGTATTACAGTCCCCTCTGTTATATTTCATCAGTTTTTCAAAGCTCCCTGAAATTCTGATTTATGGTCTGCCTCCTTGATTACAATCTAAGTTCTGGGGACCTCAGTGCTCATTCATGGCTATCTCTTGAGCATAGTGAATAGCTGCACATGATTTTTTACCTTCCAAGCAGAGCACCTCTCCTAGGAGCTGGGGAATGTGCAGAAAGCAAAGAAGCATGTGATAGGTCATGCCCCAGAATTTGCATCATCCTCGTTCCCTTCAAGAAATGTACCTGTATGACTTTCTGGGCTTGAACGTCGACCACAAGGACTCTGTTCAGTGCTGGCTGGGCCACATAGATGTACCGGTTCCTGATGTTAACCGCAGATGCCCACTGGCATGACTGGGTGGCACTTCCTTCTCCTTGGGGACAGATTTCTTCCTGTAAAGGAGAGAGGTTGCTATGTATTTTCTTAATCCCTCTTTCCTGATCTCCCTTGGTCCCTTTCTTCTCTCTCTTGGAAACCATGGGATGTACAGAATATGGCACACCAGTCCTCCCACATCATCAGTTTCTCACCCAACATCCCTCCTCCCACCTCTCAGAGGCTGTAACCTCCTTTGTGCCCTTTCAATCAGCACCTTCCTGGTTCATATTCCTCCATTCTGGTGTGCTACCTTCTCCTCTCCTCGTCTTTGTCATTTGAAACTTCTACTAATGGCCAAAGATCTGTAAGAGTTGCCCACACTCTTTTCCCACTTTCTCATGGCTCATAAGCTCTTCAACCCTTTGGTTTTAGTCCTTACTACAAAGCTTTGTCCTCACCAAGGTCACTATTGACTTCTTGGTCATTAAGTTAAACATCACCATTATTTTATTTGAACTTGGGCCATCAGCTGACAGTACTGACTATTGCTTGGTTTCCTTCCATCCATCCGCAGGGGCTGATTCTTCTGTGTTGTTGGATTCTGCTCAGTTTGCTGATCTATGTCTCAGTACCCGAGGTTCACTCATGAATTTCTTTTTTTTCACTAAAATCAACTCCCTTGTTGACTTCATTGAAATATATGGGTGTCAGTGCAATCTTCATGCTTACAATTCCTAAATTTCCATTTTTCAGTTTGGGTGTCTCCCCTTAACTCCACGTTTATATAGTCAAATGGCTTGCCCTGCTTGGTTGTTTAATGGGAATCTCAAACTTGTATGTCAAAAATCAGTGGTCAGTTTTAGCTCCAATCCTGCTCATTCCGCTCAAAAACTGGCAGCTCCATGGCATTCTTAGACCAAAATCTGTGGGGGCTGTCCTTGACTCTTCTCCCCTGTCCACTGTTCCCAACCAAGGCATCACAAATCCTTTCAGTTTTACCTTCAAAATACTTCCACAATTATGCCCTTTCTTACCATCCTACCTCTGTCAACTCTGGTTCAAGTCACATTCTTTGTTACCCAAGTAACTGTTTAGCATCCAGACTGTGCTCCTTGCTTCCACCCTACCCTTCGCCCACCCCTTCTCCACACAGCGACCGCAGACAGGGATCACTGTAAAAAGGAAGTCAGATCATGTGACTCTTTCTGACTCCTCCCACCCCAATCAAATTCTTTCTTGCTTCTTTCTCCCTCCTCACTCTAGTCACATGAGCACGCTTGTTACCTTCAATCAAGCCAGCTTCCTGCATTAGGGCCTTGGCGTTGGTAATTTCCTTTGCCAGGAATGCTCTTCTCCAATATCTGTTTGGTTTATTCCCTTGTTTCCTTCAGTTCTCTGCTTAGGTGATTATTGATTATTGAGGAGCCTCCTCTGACCTCCTCTACCTTAGTGCCCCTAGCATTCCCTACTCCCTTCCTTTACTGTAGTTCTTGGGTACACTTGACTTTAAACATTGACTTCTACACCTGGGCACAGTCTTTCTTCCTCTACTGGATGGTAAGCTCCCTGAGAGCAGGGTCTTTGTCTTTTATATCCTCATCCCTAGCCCAGTGCCTAGCCCAGAGTTGGTGCTTCCAATATATTTGTTGAATGAATCAGTGAGTGCAAAAGGGGATCTTCTTTGGTCTGTTTTCATGACATACATTCCCATTGGTTTCCTTATTACCTTGGCCAGATCTTGTCTTATTATTCTTAGTGGTCCTCTCAGTCTGAGCTGTGGAGTATCCCAGAATTCCATCCTATCTCAGATCCCTGGCACACACCCATGTCTATCTCCTTAGCTTGAGCCAATACTTATTGCTAATGGCACAAAAATTTCTTCTCCAGCTCCTGTTTGGTTCTTTCACAGCCACTTCAACCATACCTGAACCATCCCTTTCCATATCTGATTCTCCCTCTGGGTCTCCATCTCTATGGGTCAGCCAAGTTCAAGGCATGAACAACAACTTTGATATTTCCTTCTTTCATAAAAATCACCATTTATTAGTCATCACGGATTACCAAGGCAACCTCTAAAATCACTGAACTCATCTATTCCTACCTCCATTTCCATTTTTCTCTTAGATGACTGCAATTGCTATAAAGCTGGTCTCTGTCCTTTTACCATTGCCCTTCTCTGTATCTAGTGTTCATAATACCTCCAATTTGCATTAGAGAAAGCTGAGGCTTAGAGAGGTAAAGTAACTTTTCTAAGCCATTTAGTCTACTGAGTGACAGGTGGGCTATGACTCCAGCTCTGTAAGACTGAAGGCTACACCTTATTTCATATGCTGCTTCCTGCTGGACCAAATGGACATTTAATCTAGCGGAGAGGTCAGAGCGCCATCTCCTCCTCCTCACCCTGCACTTTTTAGGGAGGGTTGTCCCATTGTAACCTTCTGGCTAGGGATTTAGACTTTTTTTTTTTTTTGATACAAAGACCATTTTTGGGGATTGTTGCATGGCTCCCCATGGTCTTCTGTTGTCTGAAACACCTTCTTACTGTCCTGTTCTAACTACTTATCCAGTAATATGGAGTACTAATTAGGATCTGGGAGATTTTACTCACTTCATGGTTAGGTTATTGGAAATATATGAGAAATTAGTGCCTGTGTGACAGAGGGCAATTATTTAAACCTAATTGCTAGAAATTAAGCAGGGCCAGTCTTTCCTACTAGTTTCATGGTTATTGTGTGGAAGAAAAGTTAATTAGAGGTTGTACTTCTAAGAAATAATTATTTCCAATGAAACAGACTGGAAAATAGCTGTTCCAAGCTACACAGTTGAGAAGGGAGACAGCCTGAGATCTGCCACAAGCCAGCACAACAGAGCATCAAACTGACCTAGGAACTTGCTGAGCCAAGCCCACTTCCACACATTCCACAGCCATCGCCTTCATCATCCTATTCATTGTGCACCCACTGAGGACTTCTGTGCATGTCCTTCAGGGGAGGGCAGGGGGGGGATTTGAAATGGCCCTTTTGGATTCAGTGCTATAGTCCAGTCCTTGAGGAGCTCAGACTATCTCATGAGGCCAACTGGGAAGCAAGCCAGAGAGAGAGAGGCCTGGTGTGGGAGGCATAGCTCTTGGGGGTGTCTCCTGGCAGCAGTCTTAGGAGTGGGAAGGGCTTTCCTGGCTCTGCCACCAGTAACCATCTCTTTTGCCTCTGCCACTCACACTGTCACTTTCTACCAGGTCTTGTGTTTCATCCATAGCTCCTCCGCCCCTCTGGGCATTCGTGTGTGTTCATGCTCTCCTTCCCCAGTTCTGTGAGGGCACACCTGTCTGGCAGCTAAATGTTTACCATACTATGACCATGAACCTCTGAAGGACAGGAACCTATGTGTGGTCCTTGGGCCTCACCTATAGCTCAGGGCACAGCAGTGGCTGCTGGATGAAGAAAGAGAACTCTTAGCTCATGGGTTCCTTCCTTAGCCTTGGAACAAATACTGCACATAATAAATGGAATCTAGGAAACTCCTTGGAGCACATGGTTGCACCGACTTCTAGGATTTTGTGTGTGATGTAGAAGCTTCCCCAGGCACAGAAACTCACATAGCTCATGAAAATCTTCTCTGTGGGTTTGAGGTGCCTCTGGATCTCACAGTCCATGGGGTGGATGACAACGATACCATTATCGGAGAAGACATAGAACATGTTTCCCACACTGAGTCCTGGGAGGAGCAAACACAGCATGGTCATGCCCTTCTAGCAGCCAGGCTCCAGGCAGGGTCACATGCAACATGGAGCACACAAGACTCAAGCAGATTGGATGCAACTGATGCATGCAAAAAAAAAAAAAAAAAGTGCAATTCCCAGCAGAGGTGGAGGTGGGGATGAGCAGCCACCTCGAGACTCCTTGCTTGATGGTGGATGGAGGACCTGGAGAAAGTGCCCCAAAGGCTGGGAATCAATAAAGCCCATCCCCAGCTCTGTAGTACCCAGGCTGTCCTCCCAAACATCCACAGCTGTCTTACATCACCTAGCGCTGGTCACCAACACAAGTTTTCAAATTAATGATGGCCTTGGCATTGATATTTGTTTGACATTTCCCATTCTGAAAGGAAAACCTCCCTTGATTAGTTTTTGAGGAGTCGTCAGAGAAGAATGGACCAGATGGTACCAAAAAATGTAAAGGCTGTTTTTTTGTTCTTATTTTTATTTTATAGAGTCACTCACTGCCATGGGGAACCTAAGGATGCTATGGTTGCTATGCCTTTGTCTGCACTTGGTCATTTGGTCCTTTCAGACAACTTGTTTTTATTCTGGCCCATGAGTTTCTCTGGGGCATCAAGGCTGGGTAGTGGCTCCTGCCCCCATCCTGCTCTACTGTTGTAGGTCTCTGTGGAGAAGACACTCAGACCTCAGAAAGGGCCTTGGGGACCAGTCTTCTTACTTTAAAGATAAAGAGACTGAGGTCGAGGAAGGAAGGGCTTGGGCAAGGCTACTTGCTTTTGCATTCAAGCTGGAGTTAGACCATGAGTCCTGCCCTGGAGCCTCTGTCTCCCAAGTTTGTCTATTAAGGAGAGATGTGGCACAGAGAGATGTAAGATCTAGAGCTCTCCCAACTTCTTTCTTTCTTCCCCCACTTTCTTCCTGTCATCTCCCTTTCTCCATTTCTTTTAAAGAGAGAACATCAAGATTTTTACGAGTTCTAAGAAAAATATATGGAAAACTTTTTTCTTAGCATGCTGAGAAAACCCGTGTACTGGCTTA